TGTCTCTTGGTTAAAAATACTAATAATAGACAAGAAACCCAAATATTCAAATATTTCAAGATATAATCAAGACACCTAATCTTGTGCATATTTTACTTTATGTTATCGTAATTTTGTTTAAATTTTTGTTTCAATTTTATAGTTGCTTTTTCACTTCTGTTATAAATATCTATACTCACTTTAAAAAATATTAAATAATAATTAATTTGAGAGAAAAAAATAATTAATCATTATACATAGTGACTAATTTAAATATAATATAAACTGATAATTATTTTGATAAGTAAAATAATCTATATTATAAATAAAAAAATATAATTGATGAGTAAATTGAAATATATATTACTCTCTAAATATTCGGATTCATATTTTGCAAATATCTTTAGCTACATTTTGAAAACCCTGCTTTCATTTGAATTGCTCAAGTATTGAAAGTTTGTCTCTTCTATCTCTCTAACTTCATTACCCGGTTCCAATTTTTTTTGTTTACCCAATGTTTTCATAAAATTTTGATGTCAATATATAAATCTTGTTTCGGTGTAAATGTTGTCCGGTGTGTCTTCGTTGCTTATGGCTGTCTGGGACGCTTGTTCTTCTCCAATTGTTATTGTTCATACTCGCCAAAGGAGGGGGAGGTACCTGCAAAGATACTCCGACGCTCAAGTCAGATGTGAGTTATGGAGCCTCAGCTCTCAAGAGAATGATTATGATACTGCTCTGAAATATTATTTAGGGTCTCTAGACATAGAGAGAACGTCCCTGGACCTTTGCCCTGTTACTGTATTTATAAGCAAAATAAGAATAACCACCTTACCTAAAAATGTGGTTAGTTACTTATAAATATCTTAACTGTTTAAAATATCTAAGATATTTTATGTAATAAATATAATATTTAAGATAAAATATCTTACTACATAACATGCCCCCAAGTCCGAGTTAACCGTTCCGTTTTACGGACGTGGTAACTATAGGACATATGAGTTTGATGGAGGCTGTATTCGCTGTATTAGAGAGCGTGAACCAAGGATGACCGAGCGGTAGAGGCTGTATAGCCGAAGGTCATAGAAGCTGAATGCTTGAGGTCACGGACGGTAGAGGTCGAGTGGCATGTGAGGCCGAATGATTGAAGCCAAGCGGACGAACGTCATTGAGGCCGAATGGACATTAATGGCGTCGAACGGCCGAATACTTGAGCGCTCGTGGCCATGGATTGACGAGCGGTTGAAGCCAAGGGGACGACTACCTTTGAGGTCGAACGGCCGAATGTTTGAACGCTCGTGATTATGTATGGTCGAGCGGTTCAAATCAACGTGCGAATACCTTTGAGGCCGAACCACCGACTGTTTGAACGCTCGTACACATGGGTTGTCGAGCGGGTTAAAGGAAAGGTCGGACACCTTTGAGGCCGAACGACCGACTTCTTGAACGCTCGTACACAGGGATTGTCGAGCGGTTGAAACCAAAAGGAGGCCGAACGGCCGACTGTTTGAACGCTCGTACACAGGGATTGTCGAGCGGTTGATGTTCTGGGTGTTCTAGGGCGAACAACGACCAGAGGGAGTGTATCCCTTAGAACGCTCGTGGACATGGTTTGTCGAGCGGTTGATGTTCTGGGTGTTCTAGGGCGAACAACGACCAGAGGGAGTGTATCCCTTAGAACGCTCGTGGACATGGTTTGTCGAGCGGTTGATGTTCTGGGTGTTCTAGGGCGAACAACGACCAGAGGGAGTGTATCCCTTAGAACGCTCGTGCACATGGTTTGTCGAGCGGTTGATGTTCTGGGTGTTCTAGGGCGAACAACTACCAGGTCTAGGAGTGTTTTTCCCGGTTTTGAGTGCTTTAGCATGGACGAATCTCTGGTGTCCGCCTATGCATGTAAGATGTGCTTATCTGTGCTGTAACATTTAGAGAAAAACAAACCAATGCATTTACAAGGTTTGGAAAGTTTAACATAAAAAAAAAAAACAGATATTGTAAGGCCGTTCGGTTTAGATAGTAGAACGCTCGGTTTTCGATTGACCGTCTACGGTGACCTGCATAAGATATATATAAAATATATATAGGTGAGATCGTTCGATCGAGTTGTAAACCTGGCGGCCGAACGTAAGGCCAAATGCTGGATGCTCGAGACCGAGCGTCAGAGAGATCGAATGGCCGAACGGTCGTGTCGATGGATGGTCGAGCCGTAGAGGCCGAGTTGACGAACGTCAGTGATGCTGAGTGCTGGACGTTGGTGAAAACGAATGTTGGATTGCTTGAGACGTAAATCGCCGAACGACTGAGGCGAAAGCGTGGAGGCCAAGCGACCGAACGTCATTGAGACCTGCAGCTGAACGACTGAGGCAAGCGGACGAACGTTATTGAGTCCGACTGGCTGATCATCAGTGGGGTCGAATGGCCCAATGCTTGTGTGCTCGTGTAGATGTATGGTCGAGTGGTAGAGGCCGAAAGACCGAGAGTCAATGAGGCTGAGTGGCCGAAAGCAGGAACGTTCGAGGTTGAATGTTTGAACACATGAGACCGAATGGCCGAAAGGTTGAATGTTTGAACACATGAGACCATGTGTGGCCGAGCGCTAGAGACCGAACGTCAATGATGAGCGAAGTGCCGAACACGTTAGGCCAAACGGCCGCGAGAACGAATGCTGGAATGTTTGAGATCAAGGAGACTGAATGCTGGACGCTGCCGAACGTCAGTGAGATCGAGGTGCCGAACGTCAGGAGGCTGAACCAGAGTATGGCCGAATGCTGGAGCGCTCGTGTCAATGTATGTTCGAGCGGTAGAGGCCGAGAGACATGTGAGGCCGAACGCGAGGACTGTTTGCACGCTCGACATATACGTTGTCGAGCGGCCGAGTGGCACGTGAGGCCGAACGTCAGGACTGTTTGAACGCTCGACACATAGGTTGTCGAGCGGCCGAGTGGCACGTGAGGCCGAGCGCTAGGGAGCGAACGTCAATGATGAGCGAAGTGCCGAACGCTCTAGGCCGAACGGCCGCGAGAAGGAATGCTCGAACGTGTGAGACGCAAATGGCCGAACGATTGAAGCAAAGAGACGGGTGGCCGAACGGTTGAGTCGAAGCGTTCGAACGTCATTGACACGGGTGGCCGAACGGTTGAGGCCAAGCGTTCGAACGTCATTGAGATGGGTGACCGAACGGTTGGCGAACGAGGTACCGAACGTTAGTGGCAGATGGTCGACAGTTGAGTCCAAGTGTTCGAACGTCATTGAGACGGGTGGCCGAACGGTTGAGGCCAAACGGCCGAACATCAGGGAGGCTCAGTGACCGAGCATCTGTTTTGGTCGAATGACCGAACGCTGGTGGAGCCGAGTGTCCGCATGCTGGAGTATTTGAGGATGAAGAACCGACAATGGAGTCCGACTCGTTCTTGGTGGTCGACCAGGAAATGGTCGTACGGCAATGAGGAAGGTTTTGCCGATCGGTCACGATATACACTCGGTTTTGTCGATCGGCCAAGATGGACGACCTTGGAGTGCGACTCATTCTTGGTGGTCGACCCGGATATGGCCGAAGGTCGTTCGGAGTTTGAAGTTTGGGGAATAGAAATTGGGTTGGATGACGTGGAGGCAGAACCGAACGACGCGTGGATTGCGCGAGGGTTGCGGAAGACGTGGAGAATGGGTCTGACAAAACGCCGAAAGGGTTTATCCCTGGGTGAGAACCGTCTTCTTCTCGCCTCTCTGTCAAATCCCTTTTTACCCCAAAAAACCCTAGAATCAGCCACACTGCGGAACGGCCGATCCTGAGGTTGTCGTCGACGGAAGCCGCGATCCAAGGTGATCGAAGACCATGGAGTCCCCAGGCTTGGGATGGACTGGCGGATTTGTGGTGGCACTCCTCCTGCCGCCCAGCTGCAGAAGTGGCAGCTCGGACCCTCTCTTTTGAGGAGGGTTGGAAACGCAGCCGCGGAGGACGGGGGGTTGAGGTTGGGCTGAATGGGGACGGAGGAGAAGCCGCAATGGGGAGGTCCTCCTGGTTAAGCTTCTTGGCGGAGGGCTCCCCGGAGAAAGAATACAAGTGCGGCGATCAGTGCTTCATGGGGTTGTTCTTGTTGAGATGCATCGTGGACAGGAGTTCGGTGGTCTCCACCACTGTCGTAGGATCAGCGTGACCGTGTTTGGGAGGCGATGGGGATGAATTAATGGTTCCCCTGTGACAGCGGTGTCTGGTGGCGCGACGGAGGCTGATGGACGGACCTGATTTGGAGGCGGTCTCTGCGCTTGGTCTGACCCGCAAAGAGGCACTATTTCGCAAAGGTTTTTACAGTGGCATTAATGGCTCACGGGGGAGAATCCTTGCGATGATGCGGCAGTAGCTTTATCCGAAGAAGGGATTCGTAGAGGCCGAGGCTCCTCTCGTGGCTTCTGTGGGATGGCCCTCGGCCCCACGGTGGGCGCCAAAATGTTTCGGTGTAAATGTTGTCCGGTGTGTCTTCGTTGCTTCTGGCTGTCTGGGACGCTTGCTCTTCTCCAATTGTTGTTGTTCATACTCGCCAAAGGAGGGAGAGGTACCTGCAAAGATACTCCGACGCTCAAGTCAGATGTGAGTTATGGAGCCTCAGCTCTCAAGAGAATGATTATGATACTGCTCTGAAATATTATTTAGGGTCTCTAGACATAGAGAGAACGTCCCTGGACCTTTGTCCTGTTACTGTATTTATAAGCAAAATAAGAATAACCACCTTACCTAAAAATGTGGTTAGTTACTTATAAATATCTTAACTGTTTAAAATATCTAAGATATTTTATGTAATAAATATAATATTTAAGATAAAATATCTTACTACATAACAAATCTTATCCACTTTTCTTCTCTCTCTGCAATCCCCAAGGTCTTATTCCACTCATGTTCAACATGCAACTTACAAAAATAATTACTAAAGTCGACTTTAGAAAGAAAATGAGGATTTTAGAACACGTACTTGCAGTTTGGTGGATAGGAAAATAAAACTAAGCAAGTAAACTAAGATATATTACTAAGGACATCTTTGAATAACAACGTGATTATTTACTCAATAGACAAACTTTGATTCCATACATATGTAATAAACTTATGATTGAATTAATCTTAGGAAACAAGACAATCCAATGCATAAAGATAAACTATATTATATTTCTAGAATTTGAAAACCTCCTCCAACTATCTTGCATAAAATAATAACAAGTTAAGAAGATAAATTCCATATAGGAAAACCATGCTCGTCTCCAATAAGGATTGATGTAGAGAGTGGCAACAATTACTAGCAATACCGATGTGTATGCCACAACAAAACTTACACCAAAAGCAAGCATGTCAATCGGACTGTCATTGTTTTCTTCATTTGTAGAAATTGTTGGTGATTGTTTATAAGGATGACAACTTTTTAGCAATGGAGGTCCACAAAGAAGAGAATTTCCTTCATAGCTACTTTCATCAAAGGTAATAAATTGGCCTTTTTGCTCGGGTGTATCGCCTGATAAGTTGTTATGTGCAACACTAAATACAGCAAGAGAATTCAACTGATTTAGTTGATGAGGAATTTGACCACTCAACATGTTGAAAGAAAGATCCAAACTCTCTACTTGTACTAAATTAGAGAATGTAGTTGGAATTTTTCCAATCAAATCATTGTGAGACAAGTTCAATGCTCGAAGGCTTGTCAAGTTTCCAAGCTCATATGGAATACTTCCGTTTAGTTTATTTTTGGATAAATCAATTCCGGACATATAAGCAAGGATGCTTGCTGTATATGTGTAGGATCTTTTCTTCGTAGTGAAGTTTGCTTTCTCTTTTATATTGGGTATTTGATCAAACCAACTGCTATTCTTCATACGAACAACGCCTTCATATGAGTCAGGGTCATCATTCACAAAAGGCATTTTACCCAAGCAATTGGGTATTGGACCAAAGAAGTTGTTATAAGAAAGATCTAATATACTCAAATCTTCCAATTGGCATAGCTGCTCTGGTAAATGCCCTGTAAAGCGGTTACCTTTCAAAATGAGTATGTTCAACCTTGTATAAGCAAGATCTTGTATCATATGTTGAATGCTACCAGTTATTTCATTGTAACCAAGGTCTAGCATCACTAAGAAAGATGTTTCGCTGAACATTCTTTTGGATAAACCACTTAACTTGTTGTTGCTCAAATGGATATAATTCACTGAGCCATTAATAAAAGATGGCACATAACCCGTCAAATTGTTGTTTGAGAGATCTAGATACGATAGATATTCAAGTTCCACTAGATTTGTCGGAATAGACCCTTCAAGATTATTGTTGGACAATGAAAGCGTCTTCAAATTTGACAAATTTCCTATCGCACTTGATAGTTTCCCCACTAAATTATTATAGCTCAGATCCAACCGTTGGAGAGATGAGTTAAAAAAGTTACTTGGTATGCTTCCATAAAGGCTATTGTCATCTAAATACAACTGTTCCAAGTATTTCAAAGATGGAAATATAGGTCCATCTAGCTCATTGTGTGAAAGTTTCAAGTATTTGAGAAGTGACCCAGCTCCGGATATGTTCTTGGGAATCTCTCCTGATAAAAGATTATCTGAGAGATCCAAAGTATCCATTAAGCTCATTTGCCCAAACTCAATAGGAATTGAACCTTGGATGAGGTTTCTAGAGAGGTTTAGAAACTGCAAATTTGGTAAAATTGAACTAATATTGTTATTGGGGATTTGGCCGGTTATGTTATTGTCAGATACATCAATTCTCCTCATGTTAGTAAGGGGATGTGCTGGTAACCGCAGAACACCTGTGAAAGAGCAATTTCTAACAAGAAGCTCGGTCAATTTTGTGTTGTTTTCAAACAACCAGTTTGGAAACACTCCTTCCAATCTACAACTACTGAGATCTAATCTAGTCAAGTTTCTTTGATGTAGAAGAAACCTGGGGAGCGGAAGAGAATCATTCTCAGTTGTCGAAGGCAAATTAAGCACTTGTAATTGAAATTTAGGAATCCAAGTTTGCATACTAGGTTGTAAGTCCAAAATGACTTTGTTCCCTTCACCATATATGAACTTAAGGTTTGAAAGATTGGCAAATGGTGTAAAAGAAAGAGGAACTTCAAATTGGTTTTCTGTAAAACCAAAATATTCAAGTGATGTAAGACTAGCAATGTTTGAATCAAGTTGTCCGCTGAATTGATTTTGTGAAAGTTCCAACTTTCGAAGAGATGTCATGTTTAAGAAAGATGAAGGAAGCGATCCCACAAATAAATTTTGGCTTAGATCTAACTCTTCAAGTTTCTTGAGCTTAAACCAATCTGAAATATGAAATTTTGAAAAAAAGATCATCTTACTGATGACACAATGGAAAGGATATAAATTTTCACATAAAAAAGGTGTAGAATAAATATGTGATGATTAACGATAAAAGGAAATCTAAAAACTACAATGATAAATTGAGTTACCAGCTGAAGGGAGGGTGCCATTAATTTTACAAGTAGAAGCAGATAAATTTTTCAAAGAAGTCAATTCCCCAATACTTTTGAAAAACTCATTGTCAAGGTCAGAATTAGAGTCCAGTGCCAAGTGTTCAAGGTTTTTTAAATCACGAAAATCTGCACAATAGAAAGAGAAGTTATAGAAACTTAATTTAATAGTGAAACTAATTTTGTTTAGAGTAAAATAAAAAGTATTTCCACCTCCAGCAGTAATTGTTCCGGTAATCTCATTACTTTTCATAGAAAACACTCTAATAGATGAGAAAGATTGTAGTGATTCCCTCAGTCTGCTTCCATTTATCATATTGTTATCTAAACGAAGGGCTTCCAATTTTCTTAGACCTTTTGAGCCTGAAACTGAAACGTGGAAATAATATTTAATTTGCCAACGCATAACAAAACAAATACAACAACTATATTCTGAAGAAACCAATTAATACTGCTTTATATCAGTTGCTTTAAATACCTTGATGGACAACAAAACTGTTAATTTTGTTATCACTTAGATCAAGAATCTCCAAACTGGTTAAAGCCAATAATCCTGTTAGAGACAAACAGAGAATGGAATGTTGTAGTCATTCATAGAATAATAATACTACTCTTTCTTCACCCATACAATAGAGGTGATACATTAAAAAGAATTCTTTCTTTCACAGTTCAAGTCCAACCACCATAAAAAATCTGAGCCAACGTGATGAACCAGTAGAATACATCAAGTTAACTATACTCACCACTTGTATCGAGCGATCCTCTTAATTGATTGCTGCTTAAATCAAGGGATTTGAGACGTGGAAGCCCACTTAGAGATGAAAGAAATTCATTGGAGAAACTGTTTCCCGCTATGTCAAGAATCTCCAGAGACCTAATCTTTGATATATCTAGCAAGTAATATCAACCAACAATCTCCAGGGATCACCCTCACATATCTTTTTAAACAAAAAACAATATTGAAGATTTGAAATATAGGAAGTGTGACATACTAAGAATTGATCTTGGAGTCAATTCACTGTATCCTAAATTTAAAGACTTGAGAGAAGAAAGTTGACTAAGAGCATATGCAATATCACTGTCATTGAAGTTGTTGCCAGACAAGTCAAGGACCTCAAGATTCTTCAACATAGAGCATAAACCTGCAAGGTAAAGTGTCTTACGTTACATAGGCATATTTTATACTAAAGCTATTATCCGTATCCTTAGCCTTACAAATGAAATGGGAAAGTTATTCCACCTTGAATATGCATATCTGAGTCCAATTCATTGTGAGACAAATAGAGTTCCTTCAGAGATGTGAATCCGCCGAGAGATGGCAACATTTCATTAGTCAAAGAGTTCTCACTTACGTCAAGGATTTCTAATCTAAGCAACTTTGATGGCAGAGTTTCAAAAACTAAAGGCATACACATGTGTCAGTGATCATAGTAATTATAGAGATGCTTATCACATCATCATAAGAATACATATACTTACCGTTGAATGTTGTATTGAACCCGTTGTACGTTGGATCGAAGCCGTTGGATGATAGATATAGAGCCTTAAGAGATGGAAGGCCATTCAAACAAACTAGAATGTCGCTGACACTCATACCATTCTCACTCAAGTCAAGGACTTCCAGATTTTTCAACCCTGCAAGTATTCAAATTAAATGGAAATAATTATTTCATGTTTCACTTTCAGTGAATAAATAATGATCAAGATTAGAATGTGTAAGAGAATAACCTTCACTGTCCGCACAGTCTAATATCCCATAAATACCCCTTAAGTTGAGACTCTTCAATTCTTTGAAGACAACAAGATCGGCGTAACTTAAATACCAACCTCCACCTGAAGGAATAGCATTCCACAGGCTTTGAAGATCAAGTTTGGCCACTCTCCCTGTGGAGGAGTTGCACTCCACTCCTTCCCAGTCACAACAATCTGTTCCTTCCCACCGCAAGGACAAAAGGAAGCCAAAACGGGGATTTAGACCCCAAAGAGCTTCTCGCTCTTCCGTCCAACACCCTTCACACCATATCACTTCCATCAGAACAAAAATCAATATAGTCACGCCAACATTCTTCATTTTCGTCTTCATATTTTATAACAAAGGATTTGGCCGTTTAAATAAGAATGCAGAAATTAAAGTAAACTAGTTTTATGGCTGAGTCAAAGTTGGTGGCGACCGCGGTTTCCTACTATTCTTTCTCTCCTCATCAACATTTTTAAACAGTATATATTAGTATATCTATATATATCCTTTATTTGTGAATTGGAAGTTGAAAAAGAAAAGAACACGAGATTTTCTAGAAATCACACTAGTTGCTGTGATACTTCAACGGTTTTGTATATATACATAGATAAATTCTATTATTCAGCTTTTTTCTTGACAAAGTATTATTTTAGTATACCTAAATGAACACGCAAAAGGTCCATAAAGGTAGGTAAGTGTGAATGATGAGTGGAGCTCAACCCAAATGCCGTGAGTACTAGCAAGTAATTCGTCAAACAAGTTGTCTTCTGCCATGCTTGTAATGGCCTCAATCATTTTTGGATCTAATGGTAGTGGGAATTCATTAATACCTTTTGAGATCACTTTTGTGTACGCGTATGGGAGATTGCTATGTCATTCATACCCAAAATGGAAGTTTTTTATTTCCTCATCTATTTCTAAAGACAAACATTTGAATTAGACCAATGATGTGTTCGAAAGCAAAACGATAAGTGGTCACTAAAATAGGAGAGAAGGAAAATAAAAGAAGGAATTCGTGAAGAAATAATAGAGGAAAAAAAAAAAACTTCACCACACAAGTATAACATTTCTCTGTATAATCTCAGGAAAAATCTCACTCTTAATTTTCCTCTAAATAACATGGGAAATATAAACAAAAAGGAAGAAGGAATTTTGAAAAGACTCCACCAAGGTTTTCTTTCATAGAGAAATGGTATACTAGTAGTAGGTTAAGATTGTTTTAATCTTTTTCAGTCACATGTATTCACTTAGAATATGAAGATTTTTTTTAGTCTCTTATAAAATGATAAAAATAGCATGTAATTCAATCAGAAACTAATTTAAAACGTAATAGTAATAAGAAGTTAAAATTTTAATAATTAGTTTTAGATGTCAATTTAGATTATGATCTATAAACCAATTTAGTGATCATTATATAAAGGCTTAATACCTCTTTTGTTCCCTCTTTAGGGGGCAATGTTCAAGTCCGTCCTACCTTTTTTAAAAAGTTCAATGTGGTCTCAACTTGTGAAAAAAGTGTACAATTAAATCCTTTTTTGTCACGACGTTAAATATTTAACGATCCAGCTGACAGCGTGGAGTGATCTATGCAACGTGGCTGTTTAGGTTTATAACGTGGCTGCATAAGGGGTAAACTTGTGATTTTCATTAAAGTCCACATCAGGTTCATCTTCCACCTCCACCAACTGTGAATTTAGGGTTTCTTCCCTCCACTCCTTTGTCCACCACGAAACTCAGAGTCATGTGTCGCCTTCTCCTTCTTCCTCCCCCTCTCCCTCTCCTCCCCACAAAACCTACCAGCTTCCAAGCACGCCTCTCCCTCCCACTCCGATTCCGCCGGCTCCCACCTCCATTTCCACTCCAACTCCGATGATCTCTCTCCAAAATCTTATTTCCCTGGTTATTCCATAGCAAGATCAGATTAAATGATAAAGATTAGTGTTTTGTGTTTAATGGAATGGAGATAAAGCATTTTCTTTCATGGAATTGATTAAACTTGGGATTGTAGTTGGTAAATGAATCTTATCTGATATGTTAACTCTGTTTTGTTTCTGTTCTTTTTTCGATTTTGTTTCACCGGTCTTTATCCCCGTTAAAGACCTTGCCAACTACAACGATCTCTCCATTGAGGCGTGGCTCTAAGAACGTAGATCCTGATGCTGTATCAATTTGTTGCCCGCAATGTATGCAAAACTGCGAGTGAGAAGTAGCACAAATGTTGAAAGAAACTGAGAAGTCAGATATTGAACTCAAATCAGAGGCAAGAAGAAAATCAGGTACTGTTTGTGGGTCCTGACAGAATTGGCAAGAAGAAAATCCTCACTGCAAATGGTTTGCCAGAGGACCTTAGGTATCTCTCCAAGGATGTGAGAGAAGAAACCCTAAATTCAGGATTGGTGGAGGTGGAAGAAGAAGATGATGTGTCAAGCAATTTTTTTTTAAATTCAAAATTGACATGTCACCATGCCACGTAAGAGAAAAAATGAACAGCTCATCAAGTTTAGTCCAGAGGAGCAATTTCATCGTTAAATATTTAACGCCGTGACCAAAAATGATTTAATTGTACACTTTTTTTCACAAGTTGGGACCACATTGAACTTTTTAAAAAAGGTAGGACGGACTTGAACAATGCCCCTTAAAGAGGGACCAAAAGAGGTATTAAGCCTTATATAAAAACTAATTTAGTGATCAATTGTCTAGAAACTAATTTAATTACTATATATTATATGAAAACCATTTATTAACCAAACTATATATAGAAATTAATTTAATTTCATAAGCAATTTAGTGATGACATTATATATACATAGAAAATAACTCAATGAACAAATTATATAGAAACTCATTTGTTTACCATATTTTAAAGAAAACAAACTTAAATAATGATAATTCCTTTTTATATATTATTTACTTCCTTATTTATCTACTTAATCTTTCAAATGTTAGATTTATTTCTAAATTTAATTTCAATAAAATTTTAAAATAAATTATGGATAATCAAAATTTACTTGATGCTATAATTTAACTTATTCATTAAAAATCTAAAGTATAATTTATTACTAATTTTAAATATAATTTATTTTTAATATATTTAAAAATTTTAAATTTTAGTTAAATAACATAAACATTTTATCATACATAAACATTAGAATATTAATCTTACGTAATCGTAATGTCATACCAAACATATATAAAAAGGAGATATGATAATTTATGCATTCAACATACATCAACATAGAATTTATGTAATTTGTTCATTCATATTATGTTCAAGATATGCAAGAATTACTAATAAAGTATTTTGTGAGTGCTCTGGATTCGTCAGTTCACTAGTAAAAAAAAGGCTTTCTAACGCGCCTAATAGGTCTCGGTTTGGACAGACCCGAAGCAAATATAAATGCGATGGCAGAATTGCAATTTGTGCGAACTTATAGGCCTCGGTTCAACAGGAACCGAGGCATAATAAACATATTAAANAAAGACCTTGCCAACTACAACGATCTCTCCATTGAGGCGTGGCTCTAAGAACGTAGATCCTGATGCTGTATCAATTTGTTGCCCGCAATGTATGCAAAACTGCGAGTGAGAAGTAGCACAAATGTTGAAAGAAACTGAGAAGTCAGATATTGAACTCAAATCAGAGGCAAGAAGAAAATCAGGTACTGTTTGTGGGTCCTGACAGAATTGGCAAGAAGAAAATCCTCACTGCAAATGGTTTGCCAGAGGACCTTAGGTATCTCTCCAAGGATGTGAGAGAAGAAACCCTAAATTCAGGATTGGTGGAGGTGGAAGAAGAAGATGATGTGTCAAGCAATTTTTTTTTAAATTCAAAATTGACATGTCACCATGCCACGTAAGAGAAAAAATGAACAGCTCATCAAGTTTAGTCCAGAGGAGCAATTTCATCGTTAAATATTTAACGCCGTGACCAAAAATGATTTAATTGTACACTTTTTTTCACAAGTTGGGACCACATTGAACTTTTTAAAAAAGGTAGGACGGACTTGAACAATGCCCCTTAAAGAGGGACCAAAAGAGGTATTAAGCCTTATATAAAAACTAATTTAGTGATCAATTGTCTAGAAACTAATTTAATTACTATATATTATATGAAAACCATTTATTAACCAAACTATATATAGAAATTAATTTAATTTCATAAGCAATTTAGTGATGACATTATATATACATAGAAAATAACTCAATGAACAAATTATATAGAAACTCATTTGTTTACCATATTTTAAAGAAAACAAACTTAAATAATGATAATTCCTTTTTATATATTATTTACTTCCTTATTTATCTACTTAATCTTTCAAATGTTAGATTTATTTCTAAATTTAATTTCAATAAAATTTTAAAATAAATTATGGATAATCAAAATTTACTTGATGCTATAATTTAACTTATTCATTAAAAATCTAAAGTATAATTTATTACTAATTTTAAATATAATTTATTTTTAATATATTTAAAAATTTTAAATTTTAGTTAAATAACATAAACATTTTATCATACATAAACATTAGAATATTAATCTTACGTAATCGTAATGTCATACCAAACATATATAAAAAGGAGATATGATAATTTATGCATTCAACATACATCAACATAGAATTTATGTAATTTGTTCATTCATATTATGTTCAAGATATGCAAGAATTACTAATAAAGTATTTTGTGAGTGCTCTGGATTCGTCAGTTCACTAGTAAAAAAAAGGCTTTCTAACGCGCCTAATAGGTCTCGGTTTGGACAGACCCGAAGCAAATATAAATGCGATGGCAGAATTGCAATTTGTGCGAACTTATAGGCCTCGGTTCAACAGGAACCGAGGCATAATAAACATATTAAATCGGTTAAAAACTGCCCGGAGCGTATAATCTGCGTATAGGCACCGGTTGGAGGAAGAATCGAGGCAATAAAAGTAAATTACTTCGGTTAAAGAAACAACCGAGTCAATTTACCCTACCTACCTGCTCTTCTCTCTGCTTCTCTTATCTGTGCTTCTCTTCTCTCTGCTGCCATCGAAGAAATTCTTCACTCGCGGCTGCCATCCAATCACTGCTCGCGCTTCCCCGCTGCTGCTCCTTCACCGTCGCGGCCTCCCCATTGCTGCGTCGCCGTCGCGTGGTCAACCATTGCCTCGTCGTCGAGCTCTCGTTCGTCTACCCGCTCTTCTCTCTGCTGCCATCCAATCGCGCCTCCCCGCTGCTGCTCCCTCACCGCCGCGGCCTCCCGTTGCTGCCTCGTCGTCGTGTGGTCAACCACTGCCTCGTCGTCGAGCTCCCTGTCATCACCAGCTTCGTCCAGATCTGCTCCAGATCCACTACAGATCCGCTCCAGATCCGCT